ATATCCAGGTAAAAAAATTTGTTTTAAAATTACCTAGTTAAAAAAATATTACCTAGGTAAAAATCAAATTTACCTGAAGAAAAAAATTACCTACAACATCTCCGCCATTTTAAAAAGACCAACTTCGTTAAGGTAAGTGTTTAAACTACTAGATACCTATCAGTCACTTAATTATTCCACAAAATATGAATTTTATAAACATTTTAGTTTTGTGTACTCTTAATTTTGAATGAATCAGTTTTAAAAACTTTTTTCGATTGCAAAATAGCATGACAAAGACGTAAGAGCTGAGCACAATATAAGATGTTCTGTAAAACATAATCTAGGAAAACAGTCCATTTCTGTCGAGGCAATCAATAGCTGAAAATATCTTTAACCTTCTTTATAAAAACTCTAGTATTTTTTGAAACTTGCTTTCCTTTATACAAAAAAACTCTGGTTATCGGTTTTTTTTCTGACAATTCACCTTTTATCTATTTGGAACTTAAACTGTACTTTGTATTATGAGAAAACAAATCAGCTCGCATTAAATCTATTTTGAACTGTTTTAGAAATTTGCCTTTCAGTTCAATCTAAAGCTTGAAAATAATCGATCTATTACTGAGTGCTAATTTACTAGTGCATCTTTAACGTATATGAAGTCACTGATATCATTTATGCTATTATTTCAGAGTAAATAATAGATTTATTTTAATTCTCCATTTATAGTTACTGAGCTTGCGTTTGCCATTCAGACTGAATGGAAAAGGACAAGTGCCAGTGCATAATACACTATGCTGCATGTGATGTGGAAGATCATCTTGTGTCTCCAAAGGACATCAGCTCTTGGCTGGCTTTGCTGGAAGCAGCCAAAGTTTGAAATCATCGGGCAGTTTTGGATGTCGCCAAAACAGTCGAAGAAAATCACATACCAAATATCGCATATCACCGAAAATGTAGAAGCCTGTTTACTATGAAAAGAGACTTAGAATCTATTAAGTGAAAAAGCGTTGCATTGGCTATCCTGGGGTAACGATTTGGAGATAGCGGTTTGAAGGACATCTTCATTGAATCACAGATGGTTGCTGAGGGCTCCATAAGTGGTGTCATTGATGGAAAGCATTACAACCGTGGCGTGCGGGCACACAAGTACCTGTATGAAGCTCTGATGAGGTTAGCATGGGCTGAGTTCACAAGAAGGCTTGAGAGCAGTGATCCCAATCATCGCATCACAGTGGCGTCTTTTCTTGAGCAGGTGGATACACTGGCTAATAATTTGAAGGAAGAGANCTGAGTTCACAAGAAGGCTTGAGAGCAGTGATCCCAATCATCGCATCACAGTGGCGTCTTTTCTTGAGCAGGTGGATACACTGGCTAATAATTTGAAGGAAGAGAACTTAGACCAGCTGCTTCAATGCCGAGTCCTGCCCTATGGTAGAGGGAATAGTTCTCGGCCTGTTGCGGGCATCTTGTGAAGGTGACTGGGATTTACATCTCCATTTCATGCGAATGATGATCCCTTGGTGTTTTGCCTATGACAAGGTGAACTATTCACGATACCTGACTCCTTCCTTTACTCAGATGACAAATCTCGGTGACAAAAATCCTGAAGTACAGAAGGCATTCAAGGAAGGCAGTTTTTCCGTTCAGTTAGCCAGCAGCAATCCCTTTGGGAGGATTCCAGTTGACCAGACAACTGAGGTCACAGTGAACAAAGATACTCAGAATCCTGGTGGAACCACACGCTTTAGCTTAAAACCTGCAACTGTTCAGCGCTATTACGTACCTCACAGCAGAATACCGAAGTGCATTTCTTGGGCAGCCAAGAAACATGGTGAAAGGATCCAACTCGGAAACGCAGCATACAGAGCTTCAGTCATCAAGAATAAAGAAAGATGAGCTCGCGGTTTCATCCATAGTTGACCTCATCCAAGGCTGGGTTAATCCATTTTCCGAGAGCCAAGAACTGATTAGCATTTCAACTGCAAAGAAAGCCCCCAGAGAGATTGCTACAGACCTGAAAACAGCACACGCGGTTGGTGAAAGATGTTACGCAAAGTTTAAAGAAAAGAGGATGGAGAAGACTCCTCAAATCAGGAAATTCCATGATCCTCTGAAGACCAACAAACTTAAGATATTCAGCAACATGAACAAGAAGAAACAGGTGCATACCAACGACCGATCGATTATTTTGAAAGCAGACAGGTCCTTGTTTGGAAGAATCATAGATATTGCACAAGAACGAAGCTTGCAGATGGATACCATCCTTTCACACCCTCTTGGGCCACTTCCCTGGGCCTTGTCAACTCCAGATGGCCTTCTGAGAAAGACTAACAAGGCCTCTCTGGCATCACTGTTACAGAAAAATGTACAGCTCTCTGAGAAAGTCCTTGTAAATTCTGCTGCAGTTACTGATGGCATGTCTCTGGTGCAAGGCTAAAGGAAGATCAACTGACCTTTTGGTAATGTCGCTATGACACTGTCCTGTCTATGGCAATGAAAGAAGGGGTGTGGTGCAACAGAATAGACGTCGTATTTGACACCTACAAGGAGCTATCCATTAAGAACAGTGAGTGGCAACTGCGAGGTGAAGGGTCAGGACACCAGCTTGTTAACATCACTAGCACACAGATAGGTAGGCAGTGGAGGAATTTCCTGACAAGAGTGAGCAATAAGACGAGTCTTATCACCTTCATCATCAATAAGTGGAGAAAGGAAGCATGCAGACAGAAGTTGGAGGAGAAACTGTTGTATGACAATGCTGGTGATACATGCTACAGAATCACAGTGGAAGGTAGTGAGGAGGATTTTATTAATGGAGAAGTTTAATGGAGAAGTTTAAACTCATAAAGAGATGTTGCATTAATTATAGGCAGTTTAGAGAACTGTAGTCTTAGTATATTATTGTAACAGTAGCTTTTGTAATATAAGGCAACCATTATCAATTTTTCTGTAGCAGGGTAATTATCACGTCATTTTCAGAGGGAAATTTAGTTTTTTTGCGGCCGCGATTTGCTTCTACAGCGGCAACCACCAACAGGCTCATTTCCCATAGCAAGGAACGGCCTCGCCATTGTTTACGATTTGAAGGGAAGAAGGGCTATTGTTTTGGTAAAGGTAAAGTCTGCATACAAGCGAAGTGGCCCATCAGGCTGGAGCTAGGAGTATTTCTACTCCCCCCTGGATAGGATGCTAGTCCAGCGCAGGGTTACCCCCAGCATTAAGTTCGCTGGTACCCATTTATACACCTGGTTGGAGAGAGGCACTGTGAGAGTAAAGTGTCTTGCCCAAGAACACGACACAATGTCCCCGGCCAGGGCTTAAAGTCATTCCTCACATTTGCATTGCGCATCCTTACTGCGCATAATTTATGGCGTCATTAGTGCACTTGTGCACGCGCACATTGAAAACATGACGGATTTGCCTTGATATTGAGCTCTGTCAGTTGAAAAATAGCTCTAGCTCACCAACAAGCACGGGCACCCCAATTTTTTTTCCACTCATTGTAATCAACTAATCATAAGCTTTGCGTGGGAAAAGACTGATCGAATTTCTATTGCTGAAAATTGAATAAATAAGAAAAATAGCAGATACACGGTGGTCTTTTCTATTTGGCAGTCGGTAACCACGTCAAGAAATTTGGCTCAAATTTTTAACCAAGGATTTAGCTTTCTGTCTGAATCAAACTTAAAAGGTTTATTTGTGTCCGACACAATGTATTGACTGTAGTTTAATGCGTGTTCTTATGAGTCCGGGCTCACAAAGATGTTACAATTACTGGGAATGCGTTCTTATAATACGCATTAAATAATGCCAAAATGGGGCGTTTTCAATGCCTCACTGCTCCTTAATGAGCATGGGCACCCCCTTTTTTATTTCAAAATTAAAGTTATCATATGACAAATATTCAGTGGACAAAGTTTGAACAAAAATCTATTGTCACTTTTATTTCAGAGGAATTACCTTAAATCCGGACCGCTCGATCCAGAGACCAGCACACTAACCATGAGGCCACAGCGCCTCCCATGCTATTGTTTTAGAACCAATGAAAATGAAGAACAAGTAAGCCTTTGCCGCCATTGACAGTAAAAAAACATGGCAGAAAGGGCTGAAGGAGCTACGCAATGCAAAAAACCTGATGAAAATTGATGGAATTCTCGAGTTTATCGGCTGGAAAATCTGACCCGTAATTTCGACGTCCTTCAAGAAGTATTCTGGTCACCTTAAAAGATTTGAAAATGTGAACCGCTCTGAGTTTTGGGCAACAGATGGCACACAATTTTACGAAGAGTGATACTGGAAGAACTTAACTGCGTGGTGAGTTTTTTACGAGTAATTCTTTTTACCACATGGTTAGGTATCAAAGTTTGGGGTTTTCCGCATGTTTTGACGCCGTCTTTAAATTCCTTCCCCAAGCGAAGGAGATAGTCAAGTTCTTTTGAGTGAAATTTGGGAAGCCTTTTTTGCCGTGGAGGCAATGAAATAATATACAATATATCACTTTAAGTCGAATAAACTCCTTTCAGTTGAATTTTGTGTTGTGATTTACGCTTATATAGGACAATTTTAAATAGCTTGGTCAACAGTTAATTTTACTTATTTGAATTTTCAGACATAAATCGTACACTGTTTCCATACAAAATATACATGTGCTATGCAATATAACTAATTTTTATATGCTTAAGCTTAAAAAAATAGAATGCTATAAACCATATTATTTTATTGCATTTTGTTCATTCATTCTTGCTGTTGGCGTTTCCTTTTTAGGTTTCTTGGCTGCATCACAGGAATAACTTGTCTGTTTTGTGGATTTACAATTACAAAATACTCCTGCATCATTTGCTTTAGCCGAGCTGTGTCTGGTTTTAGTCTGCAGAAAGTGGAGGCAAGTTGAACGAATTCATGGTGAATTGATTCATCTCCCTGCTCCCCCAAAAAAGCTAGTGGAAAGTGCCACCTTCTAATAAAATCCACAGTATGTTCCTCCAGCATGTGCAACTTTGGAGGGAAGGTCATGTCTTGAAATTTCTCCCTGATGTATACCCTGAGTTGTTTGACATCATCCTCTGGAAATAAAACAAACAAGTACTATACAAAGTCCAAATATACTGTCAACAAACCTTAACAATACGCCCTTGGTTGGGTTCTGAGCTCATTATGTCTTCATGGAACTTTCCAAAATGTAGTGGGAGAACATGTGGTGTACTAGATCACAAAGCCTATTGTAACGATCATCAAGAATTTCTTGAATAAGCTCACCATGTGTTTCGTAACGCTTCACAATGTACTGCCTCTCTAGTTTTTCAGAAACAGTTCCAACACATGGGATGTTTGGCTTCCAACTTATGTCCAAGGTTGTCCAGGTCTTTGTGAGTGAGCACCTTTGCTTTTTTCTTCTCAGGTTGCTGTTGTTTACAACTCGCCATGATTTCTTTCTTGCCTTTCTCTTCAGATGGCGCATGACTTGAATTGGCAATTTTACCTTTGGCAGGGACAACACTTCTTCCCTGTTTGCCACCAGAGGCCTCTTTTCTTTTGTGATTCACATTTCTACTCTTCTCTCCTCTCCCGTTGCCATCTGATGTTGAGGGTTCCGGAACATATTCACTGTCTGTGTCACTTTCACAGCTTTCGTTACCATTGTGTGAATAATCTGAATTGCTACCCTTTTCGGAGTCAACTTTTTTGCTAAAATCAGATATGCCTGCCAGCGAGTCATTGGAATCCAAAGAAATCATAGACCCTATTTCCCGTGGTGAATTGTGGATACAGAAGAACCATTTTCCTTCATTTTGATACTTGCTTTCATTGAAAAACTGTATCTTCATGCTGTCTGCCATTATTTTGGTTTCACTAAGAAAATCAGATCCAAGTTGGCCTTGATGCGGATGTCTCAGAAAACAGACATCCATTCAAGAGAGTATCTATAAATAACTTTAGTGGAATTGACATATCCCAAGGCCTGGACTAGGAGCCTCCCTCTCTGTCCCTCATTTTCTCTTGTTATTAATGATAACTCAAATGGGGGTCTCAAAATGATAGATATACAGTCTTTTAGCAAGTCCCTAAAAGGTACATGGATTAAAAAATATTTAGATGAAGAAATCAGGGGAAATGGAAATATTTTTTTTGATGTTAAAAGAGACATAGAGGCTCAATAGTACTCATTATTAGACAAAACAAGAAAGACACTATAAAGAATCTCAAGATTAAAACTGTGTTATAAAAGAGACTCTGTTAATCTGCTCAAAAGTCAATTTTGATGAACACATAATGTCCGAAACAATTTCTTGAACAAATTTTAAGGCACATCTCACTCATAAGAATCAATAACTGCCCTATTTTCTATCAAGAATGGTTTGACAGTGGCGTCACGAAAGTGAAACATTTGAAAGATGCCTCTAACAATTTTTTATCATTAACTATAATGCGGCGCAAATACAGCCTTAATATTTGCCCTCTATGGTATTACAGACTTCTGTCTGCTCTGAAATCTCTTGGGAATACATGTAAAACAACTCTATCAACAATTGTGACTATGAAAGCTTTATGGAAAAATTAACAAAATGCCAAAGTGTAAACAAACTGGTTTACACTAAACTGATTTCCACAAAATGCACACACCCAACCCATAATCAACAGAAATGGCTAAAAGACTGCAACCAGAATGATGTTGATTCAATTAACCGGTGGGATGCCTACCAGCTAGCCTCTAAATGCACTAAAAGTACCAGAATTCTTGAATTCCAGTACAAATTCTTCCATAGACGAATAGTAACAAATGACTTCCTAACAAAAATTGGAGTAAGAGACAACCCAAACTGCTCCTTTGTAATGAAGAACAGGAAAAACTACTTCATGTCCTTTGGTCTTGTCCTAAGTTGTCTCTTTCTGGCGTGAGTTAACTGTAAGGCTAACTTTGCTCCACATTACCCCCGAACATTGCACAATAGATCGCCTTGTTGCTCTTGGTTTAAAGCCAGATTCTTCCAAGGACCACAAGCAAATTAATTTTTCCTGCCTCCTAGCAAGGAATTATATCTGGATGAGCAAAAGAAAAGAAACCGCACCAAAGATAGGTTTCTTATAATATTTGAAATCAATTTACAATATTGAGGCCAATGCAGAGAGTGCTCTTCCCAAAAAGTGGAAATTTTTGAGCACATTATTCTAGTAAGCCTTCTTTTTCAGCAATCAGTGTATCTTGATCCACCGTACATTTTGTTTGTATTTGACTTTGGGTACATTTGCTCTGCAATCAACGCCTTTTAAGAAATAAACACAAAGTGCTTTCTATATTATAAGTAGCATATTATAATTGTAGTGTTTTTTCTTTTTGCAAGTAGCATTTTCTTATTTGTAATTGTGAGTAGTGTATGTTTTTAGAATTGCTTTTTTTTTACTTTACTTATTGATCTTTATCAAAAGGTGTATTGCAATTGTGAGTGATAAATAATAGGTATAGCGACTACAACTTTCTTTGCTTTCGGGTGTCACATTTTTCCATGACCCCTGGAAATTATGCAACCCACTCTGTAATACTTAAGTATTCTTCATTATCTGTAGTTTTGTGTTTTTCATTTTTGGCCAGTGCTTGTTAGCGCTGAAAGTTCGATCTGCTGGTTTCTACCGTGTTTTTTCCTTAGCTGCTTCACTATTGTGTGAGCCCTGAAGTACAAATTCTAGAATTCAAGTCGCCACAGTTTTGTAAGTTTATTTTGCTCCACTGTCAGTTTTTTGTGTTGTTATATTTTGCACTTAAATATTTGTCTTGTTTATTTTTCAGTTGAATCACACACACATCGCACATCCACAATCACTTCAGTGTCTCGTGTTTACGCCCAGTATGATTAAACTCGTGCATTCAACCTGCGATGCCTGTAGCACTTACTAGACCTACATTCATTCAAAAAACTGTGTTTACTGGATCGACCGATTATGGCAGAAGCTGGCGATTTCTTCCCAGATGATGGCATTGGCCTTGTGAGCGAGGGCATTGATGCAGCAATGCTGAGCTCTGACCTTCGTGATGACGGTGTTCCACCAACATTGAAGGTTAAGAAAAGTTTACGGTGATCTCACGCTGGATATCAAGCATTCCTAACAAAGCTGTACAGAGAAATGGAGTTTTTATTTCTCGACAAATGGAATGCCGAACTTGTTAACAACACGCTTAAAGTCGTTCATGCAGCATTCATTAATTATGAACGAGTGCATACCATCTATTTGGAAAGTCTCGATGATACAGCAGATTCAGAGGGCGACTTCAGAATACAAAAGTTGCCTAAAGGAAAAGTTTGAATTTTTCCAACGTGTCCATCAGTGGATGGCCAGCTCTCAGCCAAGCCTTAAAGTTCAAGTACCCTTGTCGGAAGACAACATTCGTCCGAGAGATTCTGTAAGTCATCACACCACTTCAGCTACGAAAAGCAGTCAGCGTTCAAGTTCCCATTCAAGAGTGAAAATAAAGGAAGCCAAGGTCGAGAGGGCGGTTGCCGAGCTACGGTTACAACAGCTGAAGAAGAAATTAGAATTACAAGAAAGATGCAACGCTTTACTCCAACGGCAGGAGCTTCTGGACGCAGAAAATGACATTGAAGCAGCTGCACTTTAAGCCCGAATTTTGGAAGCTGGCATCGGCAATGTGAGCATTAGTGCTGAGCACGAAAGGGTCCTGAGTGTGCCATCATTTAAGACCATTGAACAGAAATCTTCCATGGATGAGCAGAAAGAAATGTTACCCCCTGCTGCAACTCGACCATCAGAATTACCTTTTCCAGCTAAACAGCAGATGTTGAACCCCAATGCCTCTGAACGGTTTGCTAAACCTCCTGACAGAGATATCCATCAGTCTGATGGAAGTCTTCAGCAATTTGTCCAATTTGTCCAATTTGTCATTAAAAGTTGTGTCACTATGGATTCAGTGCTCAGATATCAAACTGCAATGAAACTGTTAAAGGATTGTTTCGGCCATCCCTTCAAAATTGCCACTGCCCATGTAAATCAGGTAACCTGTGGTCCAGCTGTTAAACCTAATGATCAGAGAGGATTGCAGACCTTTGCAGATAAGTTGAAGGACTGCCAAAACATGTTGGAGTCAATTGGATATTTAGATGAAGTCAACAGTTCTGAAAATTTAAGGAGCATTATCGATCGTCTGCCCTTCCATCTGAAAGCTAAATGGCTTGATGTTGCCGACAGCATCCAAGAGTCCGGTCAGCGTCCTAGGATTCCTAATATTTCAACGTTTGTCTCTGAAAAGGCCTGTGCTGCTAACAATCCCATCTGTGGTGGTGCGCTTATTAGTGACAAAGAGAAAAGTAAGAAGGACAGATCGGGTAAGAAGATTAGTTCTCTAAATACAATGGCGTCATCCCATGCTACTCATGGAAACTTTAGTGGGCCTGGTTCCTGTGTGCTGAACCAACGTGAAAGTCACAATCGTCAGCTTACCTTGAGGCAAAGACGAAGTGGGAGTAGAAAATGCTTACTTCGTGAACTTCCTCAGTTATGGAACTGTGAACAGTTTAAGAAATCCTTTGAGGATCAAATGAAGAGAATTTGTGATGTTAGGCTCTGCGACAACTGTTTCCAAGTGGGCCACTTCGCAACTGGATGTATGCAGAAAAGTGGTTCTTACATCGAGGGCTGTAATGGAAAACACATGACTGTCATTCACCCCCTTGAGTGATCTCTACCTGCAAGGCAAGAGACTCACAAAATTCACAAGATGAAGAACAACAAAGCTAACCCTAACAGCCAGTCCCATGCAAGAGAAAGTGCAGAGCACACCATTCAAAATCACGCAATTGGGGCCAGCATTCATAATCCAGGCAGAAACACCAGTGCTGTTGGTAGGAAAGTACGCCTGAGAACTGTTCCTGTGAAGGTGCAAGGAAAGCAACCAGGACAAGTAGTGGAAACACATGCACTCTTAGACAATGGTTCTGATGTGTCACTTTGTGATGAGAAGCTAATTGATAAGTTAGGCATCAGCAGAGTCCAGAGACATTTCTCCCTAACCACCCAGGAAAAGAGGAACAGTCAAAGGTCAGGTTACGAAGTTAAGCTCACCATCAACTTGATTGACAATGAATCAAGTCTAGAAGTACCCAAAGTTTGTACTGTTGAGCACCTGAACATTTCCCAGCTAAGCATTCCAAGAGATCGGGATGTCAACAGATGATCTCATCTGAAAGGAATTGAACTTCCAGAGATTGACAACAAGGAAGTCCGAGTACTATTGGATGTAACCTGTCTGAAGCCTTTTGGGTCCTCGAAGAAAAACGTGGTAGCAAAGGTGAGTCAGTGGGCATTCAATCGCCACTGGCCTGGACGATAATAGGACTGTCAGAGAAGATTGGTCAAGAAGACAGCTTCAATGTGAATTTGTTACGTTTGGAAACGCAAGATGATGATAAAACCCTTTCACAGCAAGTAGAAAAGTTTTGGAAAACTGACTTTGTTGATTTGATATCAAGTTCAAAAGTGTCCATGTCTGTAGAAGAGGAGCGAGCCTTGAGGACAATGGAGGAGTCTTCCAAGAAAGTTTCTGGTCATTACCAAATAGCACTTCCCTGGAGACAGCAGCCTCCTTATGTGCCAAACAATCAAATTCTTGCAGACCACAGACTGCAACTGCTGAAGAAGAAGCTCCTACGTGATCACAAATTGTTTGAAAGCTACAGGGCAACTATTCATGACTACATCTCAAAGGGTTGCACCCAACGAGTACCTAAAGAGGAGCTCGATGTCGATGGCAAACCTCTGTGGTATCTTCCACACCATGCTGTCGTCAATCCTAATAAGCCCAGGAAATTAAGAGTGGTTCTTGACTGCGCAACTCGATACAAAGGAACATTGCTTAATGACCAGCTATTAAGTGGCCCAGACCTGACCAATAGCATGTTTGGTGTCCTTGTAAGATTTCGTCAAGAACCAGTAGCTCTATCCTCAGACATCGAAGCTATGTTCCATCAAGTAATGGTTGATCCAAAGGATACTGATGCTCTGAGGTTCCTATGGTGGCCCTTATGACGACCTATCTAAACAGCCAGTTGAATACAGAATGAAGGTTCATCTATTTGGTAGCACGTCCTCTCCAAGCTGTGCCAGTTTTGGTCTTCAAAAGCCTGCTCAAGACAATGCAGGAGACTTTGACCATGAAGTTGTCAACACAGTGTTGAAGAACTTTTATGTGGACGATCATTTGAAATCAGTGAAATTGACCGAAGTTGCTGTTGAATTGAGGGAAGATCTGTGTGCCTTGCTGTCAAGAGGTGGATTACGATTGACCAAATGGTTCTGTAACCGGAAGGAAGTCCTTGAAACCATTCCAACTCCATACAGAGCTCCTTCAGTTTTGGATCTGGATTTGGATTCTAACATCCTTCCTACTAAGAGAACCCTTGATGTTCAGTGGAACATGAATAGTGACATGTTTACCTTTAAGATCACACCAAAGGATAAGCCCTTTACACGAAGAGGGCTCCCATCAGTGACAAGTTTCATTTATGATCCGCTTGGCATGGTATCACTGATCATCTTACCTGCAAAGAGGCTTCTCCAAGATCTTTGCAAGCAAGGACTTGGCTGGGATGAAGAAATCGGAAGACAAGAATCTCATTGCTGGAGACTATGGTTATCAGATTTACCTTTCCTTTTAAGTGTTGCCTTCCCAAGATGTTTGAGGTGGGTAGACTTTGGCCAGATACAGAATGCTGAGCTTCATCACTTCGCAGACGCTTCCCAGATTGCTTATGGGACAGTATCATATGCAAGACTCGCCAACGAGAATGGCCGCATTCATTGCAGTTTCCTTGCTGAAAAATCCCCCTTAGCTCACATGAAGCAGATGACTATACCCAGATTAGAGTTGTCAGCTGCTGCATGCTTGTGGCCAAATGGCTTGCAGTGATGCAGGATGGTTCAAAACTTTCCCAGTGGAATTAAGTGCCAACTAACATCAACCCAGCGGATGATGTTAGCCAAGGTCTGACGGTAAAGGAGTTATTGAGCAATGAGAGATGGTTCAGAGGCTCTGCATTTCTGTGGGAAAATAAGTCATCATGGCCCATCAATCCAGTCTCCTTAGCCATCATTTCCGATGAAGACCCAGAAGTCAGAGCTCGAGGTGAAACAAATCACGTTACCCAGATGTAGGAGAAACGACCACTGGACCTAATGTTGTTCCAATATTTGTCATGGTACAAGTTCAAGAGAGCTGTTGCTTGGCTTCTGAGACTTGTACAATTCTTAAAGGGAAGGAGGTGCTTACGAGTTTCATCACCTGTTGATGTATTACCTTGTGGCAGGCTGTCTATTGAAAAATGACGTTATGCAGAGGCTCAAATCATCAAGTATGTGCAGCCTTCCTACCCGTGATTAAGGCCCTCCAATATGTAATGCATGGAGAACCTGAGAAGCGCACATAAAGAATATCCGCTCATTTGGCTCGGTTTACAAATTGAGACGATTTCTAGATGGAGAGGGAATGTTGAGAGTTGGCGGTAGGCTTCAGAATTCTACATTGGAGTACCAATCAAAACACCAATCGCTGTTACCTTCCAAGCACCACGTTACTAAGCTGCTTGTTATAGATGTCCATGAATCTGTGGGACACCTACGCCAAGAATGTCCTGACCAATTTGAGACAGAAGTACTGGATTATCCAGGGACAGGCCGCTGTCCGAAGAGTACTTGGCAACTGTTTGACCTGCCAAAAACAAAATGCTCTAAAGGGTCAAGAAGCAATGGAAGATTTACCCAGCGAGAGGCTAACTCCTGATGAGCCCCCGTTCTCTTACGTTGGCATAGATTTCTTTGCTCTGTTGTACATGAAGCAAGGCAGAAGTACTGTAAAACATTATGGACATCTTTCCTCTTGCTTAACTATGTGAGCAACCCACATTGAAGTGACCAAATCTCTTGAAACAGATTCGTTTATCAACGCTCTTTGCAGATTCATTAGCAGAAGAGGAATGCCGAAGATGATAAGTGACAATAGTACCAATTTAACTGGCAGAGAGAGGGAGATCCGTGAGGCCATAAATGGCTGGAATCGGCAGAAGATTGAAGGGTTTCTACACCAGAAGAATATCGAGTGGAAGTTTAACATCCCCCCCCCTGGAGCATCACACATGGGAGGAGTCTGAGAACAAGTAATTTGTTCAGTGAGAAAGATTCTGAGAGTCCTTCTTAGAGAGCAATTGGTTTCTGGAGAGGCACTGCGAACATTGATGGTGGAAGTTGAGGGAATTCTGAATGAACGAACAGTGATAATTGTATCGACGCAGAACCTTTGACTCCCGACCACTTGCTACTTCTTTGATCGAATTTGAATTTGCCACCAGGAGTCTGAATGATTTATACTGCCAACATTGCTGGAAGCAGATTCAATACCTTACGGACGTATTTTGGAAGAGGTGGTTGTCACAATGTTTACCAAGCTTCCAAGAATGGCAGAGATAGATCAAGCCACGTCGTGATTTTGCTGTGGGCGACCTAATTCTCATGGCTGATGAAAGAGTTCATCGTGGCCAGTGGCCTTTAGGTAGCGTTCTCAAAGTACACCCGGAAGGGATGGATTTATCCGATCAGTCAAGGTTGCCACAAAGCTGTCTATATCGACAAGGTCAATTTTAAAATTGTGCTTCCTTGAACATGAGAACTCACTTCCAAGGAAGAACTCTATTTGATCTTTATAGCTATCATGTAGTTAATTTGCTATGAGAAAGACTTGTTAATTTATGCAGTGGTCGTCATGCTTGAACTTTGAACACTAGTTGGCTTACTTAGATACTCGTTATACGTTAATAATGTAAATTCTAGTCATTAAGCACTTGGTGAACTCAATTTAGTTCAGGGGCTGGTAATGTAGTGACTAGAACTTTCTTTGCTTTCGGGTGTCACATTTTTCCATGACCCCTGGGAATTATGCAACCCACTCTGTAATACTTAAGCGTTCTTCATTATCCGTAGTTTTTTGTTTTTCATTTTTGGCCAGCACTTGTTAGCACTGAAAGTTCCAACTGCTGGTTTCTACTGTTTTTCCTTAGCTGCTTCACTATTGTGTGAGCCCTGAAGTACAAATTTTAGAATTCGAGTCGCCACAGTTTTGTAAGTTTATTTTGCTCCGTTGTCATTTTTTTCCTTCTTATATTTTGTACTTAAATATTTTGTCTTGTTTATTTTTCAGTTGAATCACACACACATCACACACCCACGATCACTTTGGTTTCTTTTGTGTTTATGCCCAGTATGATTAAACTCGTGCATTCAAACTGTGATGCCCGTAGCCCCCACTAGACCTACAATAGGTTATGTGTAGCTTTGTAGCTTATTGCAATAGACTAATTTGTAATGCTGTATTCATAAGTAACAGTAAAAATAATGAGTAAATAAGTAAGAACTGATAGAAGTGTAAGTTATTGCATTGTTTCATGACATAAGCGTATCCTTGTAATGTAAAATTCACATGGTAAATAGCGTAAGTAGTAGATTTAAACATTGTATTGTATTGCATTATATTGTATTGTATTGTATTAGTAGTATAGGGGAGCAGTTTCAGACCCAGCCAATTAGAAGGCATTATTTTGTTCACGTGATAAGTCTGGACCAATCAGCTTGCAGGATTTTCAGCTCAGGTCAGTGGTTGCACTAATGCGTATTAGAGAGGTCTGGGTTGAGCTC